CTGACCGCACATTGCTCTGTGGTGCCAAGAGAAGTTAGATGTGGAAAGAGGCAACGGTCTTCACAACCCCCTGCTCAGAGCTGGGCTGCTCCCTGCACTAGTCTCAGGGAGTTCGGACAAACAGCTACTCAACATTCATCACGTGCCAAGAGCAGACCAAAGGAGTTTTCCCACTGATGCAGTTAACACACTGCTGAGTGTCAGCAGCTAGGGTGACAGAAGGATTCCAGTTGTATCCACGCTGGAGCTCAGGCTGACCTAAGTCCAGAGCTCATGGCACTATATTTTTCACAGCCCTGAGTGTCAGAGCTAGATCAATCTAAGCGTGGACCAAGACTGGAGACTCTCAGGGTCTAGCCCCAGCTCCGGGAGGGAGGCAAGGCTGGTGGCTAGGTGTCAGGACTCTAGGATCGGAGTCGCAGCTCAATGAAGAGTCTGATTTCTAGTGGTTAGAGTTTCATTCTCCTGCATGTAGCCTTGAGCTGCATCCTCCCACTATTGTTAAATGGAAAGATTTCACCTTGGCCAGGGTGCTCAGCTTTGCAGAGCTCAACATGGGAAGTGGCTATAGAAACGTTATATCGTAATCATCCTCTCACCCAGAGGAAGTAACAGCTTAGGGAGCCAGGGGGGAAAAGGAAGCGAAACAAGATGCAGAAACAGACAAAAGCACCAACCAGCACAGCATTAACGTGCTCGCTTTTACTGAACTCTAGGGGGGTGACTGTGGGGCGGATTCATTATCTGCTAGAGGTACAAAGTGTTGCTCTGAGCCCAGCGACACCTGAATTCTGGCCTGTCCTGCTTTTTCCACCATGGATCCCTAGCATTCAAGTTCCAGACACTCCCTTCCCTCCAACACAAGAGCTCCTATCACCTGCCACCACCACAGAATCTCAGCCCCCCTTACTCCATGGTCTCTGATGCAGCAGGGCCCTGCTCCCATAGAGCACCCCTTCACCACCACCTTCTCCAAATAGAGTCCTGCTGCCCCTCAGAACACCCCCCCCTTCTCCCAGCCCTCTTTACCAGTCCCCCAGGCCCTCCCTCACCTTCTGCTCCCCCCATGAAGAGGTCTGCCCTATACCACCACCACCCACATTCCCAGAGCCCCCTAATGGCCCTCTCCAAAGTCACCCTATTTATCCCCTCCGCACAAAGCCTCCCATTCTGCCTCCTCCAAAAGCTCGTCTCCCCAGGCGCCCTGCTCCTCACAGCCTCCTACCTGGCCCCCTTCTAGCCCCCTCTCCCTCCAATTCCATTCCACTTCCTCTCTGTCTCGGTTGCTCTGCTTTCCTCTGCACATCCCAGGGGGCTGATCCCAAGGCTGCCCCACCCCTCTCTCCAGCTCTAGCATCCACTCCCCGCCCTATTTCCCTCCCCTGGGGTCCCCCTCTCCTGCCTTCCCCAGGTCCCCCCCCGATCCCTTCCTGCACCCCCATTCTCCTCCACGATCCCTCCCCCTTTGCCCCAGAGCCACCCTGCTTCCCCCTCCCAGACCCCCGCCTCACCTCGTATCCGCAGGCCGCTCCGAGCGAGGATCAGCCCCACGGGCAGCCCCATCCGCCGCCCGCAGCCGCTGCCCCCCGCTCCAGGCTGGCTGGCAGTCAGCTGTGGTCATGTGCCCAGCTCTTCACGTGACTGCCTGGACGTAGAATTCCCCCTTCTCACTTCGCCTGCTAGTCAGGAGCCAATCCGCAAAGAGTGGGCGGGGCAAAGGCATTCATAGTAAAAAAAAAAGCGTAGGGGAGAGGGCGGGAGCGAGGGAAGGGGAACGATTGTAAGTGACAGGCCATTCCACCTATCATTTGCCAGGAACGGTGAGACACATGGCAGAGGGGGCGGACAAAATACTGTCAACGTCACAAGGGCCAATAGGAAACAGAACTGATTGATGGACATATCCGACCACTTATCCGCTGCAAATATTAAAGGGAGCCCCGCCTCGGCTCTCCGAAGCCCTCCCTCTTGTTGCAGAGACCAATAGGCTAGCGGGGGAGCTACAGTTGGGACCGCCTCTCCCAGGCGGGGACGCTCGCGGTCGTTTCCCGCCTTCCGCAAGCCCGCGCTGCGCTCTGATTGGCGAAGAGAAGATGATGGGCAGGGAGCTCAGCCAATGAGGCGTCGAATAATGTGGCTGCGCGAAGGGCGGTGCACACTCCCCTCAGAGTCTCATAGGCCTGGGGGGGTGTCACCCTGCCCCCCCTCAGGCCTGCCCGCGCTACCAGATGTGCTGTAACTCTGGGGAGGGGCTGCTGGTGTCAGTGTGTTGGCCTCTTCCCCCTTGGGGGGCTCCCCCCCCCCGTGGGGCGGGGAGGCCTGGGGGCCCAGGGCTG